GACCCCTTGTCATCTGGTTCCCTGGTCCCTCACCCAACATGGAACTGGGATATATCAGTTTGGTGCTGTAGGTTGTGAAATGTGCCATGTGCAGCCCAGAGTTGTTCTTTTTTTCTCCTGAAACATATACAATATATTGCAGTTCTACATCAACTTGTTCATCACAAGGAAACATGACAGTTAATCTACATGGCTCCATAACCCAGTTGATGAAGTATTGTACTGTCAATGTAAAGACCACAGTTTCAAGTTGTCCTGAAACTTTTTTCACGCTTCTTTCTTTGGAATTGCTTTTGCAACAGAATACGGATTTGATGATCTCTTAACCTCTTTGTCTATATACAGTTGAGTGCTGAGCGCAATATGACGGTAAGGGATCTTGTTGCTGGAATCTGCCAGGAGTACAACTTAACCAATTACCAAGTGCGCACCTTGCCTGAAAAGACGCTGTTAAATCTTGAGGCAAATGCCACTGCTGTAGAGAATGCCGAGATTGCCATCGAGGATGTGGACAAGATGCTGTCAAACTTTCAGCTAGACAATCTACACACGAGTGAGTTAAGAGAAAGTATACACCTATACTAAAGTGGATGAAATGTTCTTGATATTTTTAGTTATACGCATTTTATGGTAGAATCCATCATAATGTTTTGAAATTGGAGGCAGATGTGGGACAAAGCACACTGCTTTGCAAAACAAATAAAAAAAAAAAATGCAATATAGCAGCTAGAAATTTCTGCAAAATTTTACGTTTGGAAACCCACAGCCTGTGAAAATATTTTAGTGATGAAGTTGAAGGTTGGCACACACATGGGGACAATTCCCAAGTCCCATGAACAGTTCACATGAGGGATTTTGAGGGACAAGTTGTGTGGGCTTGTCCCTTCAATTCAAACCAGTTTGAATTCATTGGACAAGTAGCAGGGACCAAATCCTTGCAGCTAAATTGATGAAGGTGGCTAGTTCACACAAAGGGACTTCTTTCCACTACTTGTCTTATGTCTATGTCTCTTGTTACAGAATATGCCATATTACCACTCCAAAGTTCGTCATTTTTGGAATTATTTACACACACTGCCGGCATGGACTGAACCCTTACCCTCGTCCTCCCCCTCTGTGTCTCCCCAAAATGTTAACACATGTCCTTGATACACATTTTTTTTGTTTATGACAGTTAAAGATGACAGACTGCGTTGTGTAAAGGAGTTGGTCTATGCTGAAGAAGTGTACAATGATTGCCTGAAGAGCCTGTTTGAATTATATGCTGAACCACTGAGGTAAACTAGTTACAAGAGTAATATTTTGTACTTTCAACAGCTTTAGAAAGAGTGAGTCCATCATCAGCCAACTGTAATGCCAAATGAGTCAGTACAGTAAGAGGTCTAGCATCTATAGTTCTTAAAGTTGATAACGGCCATGATGAGCTTGTGAAACTGATGTTTTGGTTGTGAGCCCATTCACTTTGAAGAGCTAATGTTTGAAATGTGTCAGCTTCAAACAGGCATAGGTATTAGTCATAAAAACCATGAGACCCTCTGTTAGTTCCCATAGCTTTCTGCTGACAAGGATTTTCTCAGAGATTGACATATATTTGTTAAAACTCAAAACAGAAGAGCCTTTTTTCTGTTGTAAAAAATCGAAACAACAACTGACAGTTCTTTTGATAAATTATGTAAGTATGGCTTATTGAACAATGGGTGCTTACTGTCATTAGGGGGGCTATTACAAAAGGCACCTTTAAACGCTTAAGTATATCAGAGACAAGAGAAAACGGGCGCTTTTGCTACTAATGTAAATTAAATCTTTAAAGTAATAGAAAGTAGAAAGTTTAGTAGTTGGTCGCAATTGGCATTTTAATTTTCTTTGCAGAGGCAAAATAACAAGGGCAGAACATCATACGTTGTTTGCCACTCTAGAACCGATATGTTCACTCAATTCTGCTCTTTATGCAAAGGTAAGTAGCTAGTTTAAATCAATGAAAACTTACGCAAACCTTAAATGGATAATTTACTAAGGGAGAAAAACAACAAAGAAATTTTGACAAACCGAAAAGAAGCGAGTATAGTCAAGACTGGGAAACTTTGGAACATTTTAAGCGCCATTCATTCCAACTAACTTAAAACAATAGGAAAAGAAAGAAAGGAGGGCATGTTATTGTGTCGTGTTTATTATTTTTATTTGTTGCCATTCCAGGTGGAGGAAGCTGCAAACAACTGGAATTCAGCTTCTACAGGAATAGGTAAAAAAATTCATTGACGGAAACAGTTTTTTAATATTTCATTACACTGGACTGAAAAGGCCCCCTTCCGGTCCGCCATTGTCATAATTAGAAGCAGCATCCTCGTGATTTTTGTTTCCCGAACTTCAGGAACTTGTGGTGTATTTAGACACGATTTATCCGCCGCCACTTTAGTCTCCTACGCGGACGCTCATTGGGGTCGTCACGGGGGAAAGATTGCGTGACGAACCCAAAGAGAGTTTACATAGGAGGCTATCGCCACTACAACCTCCTCGCGTGTATCCTTTGCACTTTTCCACGCGAGTTTTTATTTCACCGTACGCGAACTATCCATAGGGTTTGCTTTCTCTTTTGATCCATTCCCGACATGTATTTTCAATTCTGTTTTCTATTTCAGGTGCAATATATGCCGAATTTCCTTTGTTTTGGGAGCGTTACAATGACTACTACTTGGCGTTCAAGTTTGCAAGAAGGCAAGAAAATATATTCGTCTTTATCATTATAATTCTATGGATCTGAAATTAATGTGATGATGGATGTCTGGTGCGAGGCAATGCCTGAAGACACGATGTTGTAATTATATAGGGGAGAGGTGGCGAGAGTGTGTGGGAGAGGATGGGTAAGTGTCACTGTGTGTATGCCAATAGCAGTGTTAAGTGGAGAGAGTAGTAGAGTGGTATGTGAGGGAGAAACAAGGGGTGCTTTCCATCTTGCCAAAAATCTCGGAAATTTCGGTCGGAAGTCAAATGGAAAGGCCGGTTTCGGTTCTGTCCGACCGGAATATTCGGGACCACCTCTGGAGGTGGTCCAATTTGACCATTTGCCGTTCCATTTTGCCAAACCGGTTCATTTCCCATCTTCTCTTTAGTAGATTTCATTTAAGTGGTGGATTCGGGAAAGGAGTAGAAAATGGTGGGAACCATTCGTCTCGGTTGGCCCGGTTTGATCGCAAAATGTTCCATTTTCCTCGGATAGTCACGCTGGTTTCTGATCGATCGGTCTGGCATAATGGAAAGCACCCGAGATGTGGGACTATTATAAGGGAGTATGAGGACAGGAATGGTGTTCAGCGAGATGGGAGAGTGGGCTGGTATGAGTTGGGTGGAGAGGGGTAGTGCGGTGTATAGGGGAGAGGAAAATTAATAATAATAATAAATAAATATTTATATGGCGCCTATCCATGCCTACGGAGCTTCACGTCTAGAGGAGGGGTGTGAGGTGTTGTTATCTTCTGGGGAGAGGGGTGTGTTTAGAAAAAATTGAGTTATGTAACTGTGGCGTGCTGATGTGTCAGGGAGAGGGGCTTACTTTAATGCATTAGAATCAGAATCGTTTTCGCAGACCACATGTTTAGTGCTATAAGGATTGCATTTCTTTCACATAATACTGAGTAACCAAAGCCAGTCACGCGTCCGTATTAGTGTTGAACAGGGCAATAATTGATGCTCTTTAAGGCGGGGGTTAACATTAAGGCCATATTTGTGCTGGGTATTACGGTTTGAATGCAAATATCTCGTTCACGTTTCAAGCAGTGAACTCAGCTCATTTCACATAGCTACGTTTTGGGCTGTTTTGTAAATTTTTTGGTGATTTTTGGGTATATTTGGGGATAAATAGTTTTTCTCAAAGGARTAGTAAAATTTATGGAAATAGGAAATTTTGAAGATTTGATGCTGTTTTAAAATTAGAATTTGAAGTTAGAAATTGGTAGATGTACACCAAACAGTTGCCCACCATCCCGGGGTGCCCTTTTGGGGGCAGTCAACTGTCTGGTGGTGTTCTAAACCCCTTTTTTTCTTTTTAATCCCTCTTTGAACTTCCTAAAATTTTACTTAAATTCTTGTGTACCCCCGCCTTAAACACTTTGGAGGGGTCAGTGATTGCACGTGCACAAAAACACTTTTTGTCACGCGTCACGTGTCACGCGTGATTGCATTCTTGTCGGCATTTGTGGAAGAGCCGATGAAACCGTGTATTAATACAACCTAGTTCTCAGTGTTCATTCTATTCTTCCGGAAGAGAAAGGACACTGGGAACGAGGTTGGTATTAATACTGGTTCGCGGCAATACTCTTTGTCACTGGCCAAATTTATGAGGACTTTAATCCCGGCATTTTCAATCGAACCTACTCGAACTTAATTTCAATCGAACGCATGGAATGAGTTCGATTGAGTTCGGCAATCGAACGAAATCGAACCCACATAAAAATAATTGGACAATCGAACTCAATCGAACGTCTTTCCAATACAAATTTTTTGAGCCTCGAGTTAAGTCGGTATAACACCTTACTCGTGTTTTTCGTGTTTTTGAGACCACATAACATGATCTTTGTTCAAGCGAATTTATTCACCGAACGCAATCCAACGCAATCTAACAGATTGAGTTCGATTGGTGCGGAAGTCGAACTCACACAGTGTTTGATTCGTTCGACTGCCGAAGTCAATCGAACACAATCCACGGATTGACTTTGATTGAGTTCGATTTCCGAACGTTCGGTTGACTATACCTGGTTTGAAGCATGCAGGGAACATTTGCCAAGAATTCCAACAAGCTTTGGTGCAACTATCGGAAAACTTTTGCGCCAAACCTAGAGCATGAAAAAAATACTCTAAGCTCTCGATTTTATCGCTGTGTGTTTTTTGATTGCAGCTTAATGAGACAGAAACGAGAAAATGACAGCGAATTCATGGCGTTTGTACACAATCAGAGGGGCTCGCATCGACCGCAGCTGGATTCGTTATTGTTAAAACCAGTGGGTATTCTTTTTTTTGTTTTGACCACTTATTGGTATGTTGATCAGCAAGTTTATTGTGCTGAAGGAAAGGCTGTGGTTTATGTCGGTAGACGGTCGGTGGTGTAATATCGGCCGCTTCAACCGCCAGCGCATGGCTTTTAGTATGTAAATGCAATTTAATTTCTCCTTCACTGGACAGTTCTCATAAACGGTGTGACAGGGCTTTGCGAGGGAGGTTTTGGTAATGGGTTCCTCTGTGGTCTATGTTATGCCCTATAGAAAATCGGTAAGTGATCGATTTAAATCCAGTTTGTTTTCTTGTAAGTCATGAAATAGTTAATAGCGGTGTTGCGATTGGTAGCGATTTTCAACTTTGAACTTTCTGTTCTCAGATATTGAAAGCCAGACTGGTGCGATTCACTTGATACATGACTTGATTTCCTCTATTCGTTGTAAAGGGATTTAAGTCACGAGTTTATTACGTCAGGTCGAGGGGAGCCTTTTAACATAACTGTTGAGTGGAGTGAACAAATTCAGAAAATAATTGGCGAGGATTTCATTGCATTTCAACTTGTCCATTTAATTTTTGTTCTGTTCATGAAATTGATTGTGAGCTAAATTTTGTAAAAACCCAATTTCATTCTTGGAGGCCAGCTTTCTGCCTCATAAAGTCAACTCACAGCGTAATTAACGTGTTGATCCTATCTGTTTTAAGTCTAAACCGCTGCCAAACCGTTACGCAGACTGTGAACTGATTGATTAGCAGTGTTATTACCGGGAAGGTCAGAGCCTTCTTTCATGAGTTCTGCTATCTTTTAGTCATCCACAAGCGAAGTATCGTGCATTTAATATCGCATTATTCTGATCAAACTACACTGCCATCAACAATGCTTCTTGAACTCAAAACTCATTCGGGTACAGTGTTTCTCCGAGTTTTCCTTTCCAGAGTTCTGCGCGCATAACTTGGACAGTCCCAGAGGTCCTTTCGTTATTTTTGTCAACCGCGGTACACACGTTTTATGGTCATCATAATTTCCTATATTTGTTATCTTGGTGTTTATTTATTTTCCGATTTGCTGATATGACGTGCAAAAGAGTATTATGTCAGTTGTATTTGAGAAAGTAAATGCGCATTCAGTTCTGCAGAAAATCGCGAACCAACGATTCATACCTGGTTGCAACTTGTTCTTCCAATTACGGTCATTTTTTTTTTTGCCCTTCACAGTTCATTTAGCGCATGTTTGTCAATAGCATTGCTTCGACTTCACCACATGTGAACTATTAAAGGTGAATACAAGTTTAGGTTAAGCCTTTCTGCACTAATTCTCATCGATCTCTTCTGTCACTTTTCACTTTTTTCCAGTCTACCATTGGATTGTTTCGCGAGATAACTTACACACACTCATCAATCTTGTCCTTAAATGGTGATCATTTTTGTAGCGAGATTATTCCATGTTACGATAATGTTATAATCGATTTTGCCCGAGGAAATATTTTGTTTAATAAACAGAGACTTGACAAAATAGTTAGTTTTGACTTCGACGGTCGACTTGTGTGTTGCACGCTACAATAGGCTCGCTGGCCAATTTCTATTATCTTTTTAGGTCTTCATTAGACGAAAAAGCACAACGTTTTTGGAAATTAAAATCTGGGAGGCGAGATGTTGCGTAGACAAAAGTCGTTGAAAAGAAGTTATTGTTTTTAAGTGTTTTTTAATTTTAGAATCCGGCAGAGCGTTTCGTTCATTAGATTATGAAGTGCGTGCTGGGACGTGTTAGTCAGAGAGCGGTACAATCTGTGTACGATAACTTTATCACAGTTGAGCATTTGTAGCGTATATGCATACTTTTGGTTCTTTATGTTATCATTTGCTGTTGTCCTGTGATGGTTCGTGTGTACTTGTGCGGTATCACAGAAAAATAGAAGCGCTTTGATTAATTAGAACTCGGTCTAAAGACAGCCTGGAAAACTCGGGTCTTTTGAAGTCAAGGTTAATTATAACGGTTCTAATAATAAATAGTCTTTTATTGTATTGCATTGTTGCCTGTTTTCAATGGGAGTGAATGTTTTTGAAAATACTTTTGTATCGCTCATATGCCGGGAGAACAGTGCTATTTATAGAAAAAAGATGCAAAAACCTGGTTTGAAATTGTTTTCTCATTTTAACTGATTACTGGCATTTCGCCTACGAAACTCATGTGAAAATTTCCGTAAAGTTGAACTTCTACTACAGAAAATGATATGTATGTAATTAAAGGGAGCGAGAGTAATGAGCAGTGTTTTGGGACAAGAGCTGTTAAGTTGTAGTTCCCGATCGATCCGACTGTTACTTTAAATGTACTTCAAGCTATATGTATGCAAAAGAGAGAAGAGGAAAATGTGTTCTGTACGTCTCCACTTTGTTTGAAATTATTATGTCCCTCGGGTACTACGCGCGCCGTGATTGGCCAGTTAAGTGGGCCATATTCTGCTCACGGCCTGCTGAAAATGTGTTTTTTGATTTATCGCCAAGGTTCATAAAATGTTTTATTACGTGTACAACATGCTATGAATTAAACGTTTTAGCAAAGATTTAGAATTGACTCGTTTTGCTTTTGACATATGTCAGTCATTTGAAGCCGTTTCGCGAGTCTTGAATTGGCTTCCTGAACCCGTCAGACACACATACAATGGAGATATAATAAATATGTTATTAACCTCGCTTTCTCGGTCCGTGCTTTAATTTAGATATCCTCCTTTCTGGTAGTGTTTTCAGTGTACGGTTCAAAGCTATACTATAGACTACGAGTAGTCCCTCTTTCTCTTAGTCTTGCGGTCTCGCTCGACGGGCTAAGCGAAAGAGAGCGTCACTACTCGTCGTCAACAGTCGTTTGCTGAGCAAGCGTTCAGTAAAGCGGATGAAAAGATCGCAATCAACGTGATAACAGGATTAACACGAAGATTTAGGAGATCAGAAGTCTTTTATCGTGATAACGATTACAGAATACAATGTGGATAACTGAATTTGTCCCACGGTTCCGCATACAGGTACAAGGAATATAAACGAGGTTTGGTCATAAATAAGCCCTTCTAAAATTGTTAGGGGTTTGTTTGTCACGAATTTCTCTCTTTACTTCCATTTTTAACCTAAGACTGTTAGTATTTCCTCTCCGCAACCCTAAATCGTAAAACGAGGAGCGAAAGACATGAAAAAAGAAATAAATAAATATAAACCGGCAAAAAGTGGAGGCGAGGATCAATTTGTTGAATTTTTACCGTGCCTTTTTTTGGGAGTGAGTAAAGGAGGCGCTAAATCGCTTACCGAATGTCGGAAATCCGTTTACGAGGCTGTTAATGCACGTGCTGGTCAATTATGTCTTATTTGTTAGACTTAATTCTAGTTCAAAATTCTTCTTCATTCTTTTTAACAAATATTAACATAAAGAAGAGCAAATATGTACATTTGCGGTACGTTCGAGTCGAGTCTACAACAAGGAACATGGAATCCATTTGTTGTCGTTAGAGAACTGACCGCAGCGAATTGCGTCTGAATTGTTCTCGTGTTTTCCAGATTAAGAATCTGGAATGTTTATTCATTCAAGGACGTACGAATTGTGCGAATGCCTATTATTCCTGGTACGTTTTTTCGTTGAGCCCACTACAAACTATTTGTTTCGAAAGCGTCAGTTTTTTTAAGTTACCAAAATTCACTTGAATTGGCGAAAAACTAGTCCTTTTTTTTTGCTGGGAAAGGAAATCGGTAATTGAGATAATAACTTCTTTCTCATGACTTCGATATAACGGTTGTCAACCGGGAAGAAGTTTTAATTGTCTTCGTAATTTAAAGAATTGAAGTGTATTGCTATTTGTAGACATTCACGTATATTTCTGTATGTGGGTGGCGGGGTATTTCCTTCCAACCGGAAAAACGAGGCAGCTATATCTGTCAGCACGAGAGACTGATTTATAACACCAAATTATGACTTGACTTTCGAGAAGCATCACATCCAATTACAATTTCCCTTTGGAAGTGAAGTGGCCAAAATTATCGAGTATGCTTGAACGTTGGCGAAGAAGATTAACGCTCACCGCCTTCCACGTTTTTGGAAACTGTCTCTTGGCCGGAGCTTACATCACCGATGAAAACATTCCACAACTTATTGAAGAAGATATTGAAAAGGTATAATTGTTATATTGAGCAGGTTTCGCTTTTTCTTTGATGTGTTTTATGCTCGCGAAAATAACGCAATTTGTCCGCAAAATACTTCAACGACTTTGAATAGGTCTTTGCACTTTAAAATTCCGAATGACCAAAGTGTAATTTCTCCGCACAAAATCGATACAGTTTATCAAGATGAGAGATGACGAGAACAGAAGTCGTCAATTAGATACTGTCTTGATGTACTTTGAATTCTCAGAACTAACTTGAAGTAAGGAGAATTCGTATTTCAAACTTCGTGTTGAAAGAGTCAATCTTAGTTTTTGTTTTCATCAATGATACTGTCTAGTCGGTGACATTGCCCAGACTCAAATTTGTGGTTTTGTGATTCAGTCTGTTATTTCATTCCGTCGTATATTTCGCATCGGAGAAAGCAAGAATAGCTTTAAATCCGAGTTTGCCTTCAGCGAGGGCAGTTCAAGGAACAGTTTTGAATTTCAGTTTCACCTTCATGGTGGCCGGAACACATGCTATTTGGTCGGATTGTTTGTTTATGTTTCGTACTCAATTTATAAGTGAAAATGTGTCATTTGAGCGTCCGTCCAACATATGACATCTGATACGACATACAAGGCTCGTTCTGTCACACACGCCTCACAACACGGTCCTCCGAGCGTATTACGTCCAGCATCGGAGAAAGATTCCTTGTTTTTGCCCACCTGAATGTCTCCACAGCGGAGAAGACGGTTTAGAAAGTTAAGTAGCAGGATCAGAAAGAGCTTTCGCGCTGCTAAGAGATGGAAGAGTTCGTTTAGAGTTCGCCGAAGAAGCTCGACATTTCGGGTAAGCAATATGTTGCCCAATATTTTGCTTTGATGATGGCGTTAACGTTGAATTGCAGTTCTTTTATGTATCTAGAGTTGCTTTCGAAGCGCTCAAGACTTGTTTATTTGAAGTACGGCTCCTTGTGAAAGACTTTTTAAAGCGACAGTATTCTGTTGCATGTTTTGAATTCAAGAACGGCCGTACACAAGAAAAATGTCGCTTTTGGTCGTGGAAACCAACTTCGGAAACAATAATATGCAGACGTGAATTCTTTAACTGTAAATCCCTTGACCTTATGTTTTGTTATTTTTTACGGACAAGAATTTTCTTCAGCTCTATTTTGACCAGTTTGCGTGATTAGAGATGCCGACGTTTCCGGTCCAGGAAATACCTGGAATTATAATTCTCCTGGAACTCTGCGCGATGCAAGTGGTATATTTATTCGCTTTTCCCTGCTCTTATAGCCAGTCGATAGTTGTCGGGTTTATATACATCGTAGTGTTTAAAACAAGCATTGTTCAATAATTAGGGATTGTTTATACTGAAAACAGATCGCCTACAACCCTGAACTGAATAACCACTTTGTAACAGGACTCCACGAACATTCCAACAGCCATGGTGCTTTAATTTTTTTGTATCATAATTATGATTTGCCTTTTCACGCCCCTATATTGATTTTGTTGATTAATTCAGAATGCTATTAATTGATATGCTTTCTCTTTGTAAACGTTGTGGTCTTTCATGAGTCTAGTCAAAGGTCGTTGGGAGAAAAACAGGAAAATATTTGTCTTTGGAGAGTTTCATGCATCGATGCCCTACCGGAGAAGTTTCACCCGGCAAGATGATAAGATTTGGCTTATTGTCTTCATGTTGGGAAGTAGAAAGACTTTGTGGACTGGTGTTATTTTCATTGTGGGCTTCAAAGCTAACACAACAGTCGTTTATTGAGCGTTATAACGAAAGAAAAGATTGCAATCTGCGTATCGAAACGATGGAAGAGGCTTGGCACTTGGTCGCTTGTGATGAAATTCGAAGCGCTCCTTCCCGCGTAGGCGTTTGTCGTAGATTTTAAAGATAATTGGATCCACTTGATGGAGAGCCTACGTACGTGAGCTCAACATGTGTTGTCTGCTTAGAAATTCCAAAGAACCGTCCCCCGGCGACATGAAACTTTTGCTAGGGTCAAGAACATTTTCGTTTCACGTTAATTCTCTTTGAAAGGCTAAATGACGTCAATACACAGTCTGATGATAGTGACTTTTCCACGCACACATGTTCGCTGTTTTATTAGATAACCAAAGAACAACAACAAGAACAACAAGCTGTTCTAGCATTTGCTTGACGGCAATCAATCGCTTAATCTGGTTCCAGGTTCGTTTTTCCAAATTCGCCGCGGAGGAGTGAGGAGAGTTAGGTCGAGTCGAAATGTAGACTAAGAGAGTAGAGGTATGGACGAAGCTAAGAAATTTCTCGGCGACCGCTGACTCAGTGCCCTAGACTAAATTTGGCCAAAATGTTATTGTGCACATGCTCAGAGAGGGAAGGGGTAAATGCCTTTTTGCTGCTGTGATTTTTTTATTCCCTTCCTTCATCCCCTAGCAAATTTGCGTTTCGTAAAATTGTTATTTTCCTACTATACTGTTTAGAAGTTTGTGAAATTTCCCACAGATAACTTCATATTTAGTTCTAATTGGCACACGTGGTACAGATGGCGGGAAACAACCAGAAGCTGTGACGGATGCGACAAGTTATGGCGGGAAACCAATGAGAGTTGCGACGCGGCGTGCGAAGCACATTTTGGCGGGAAAAAGCGTTCCAGCCTCTTCGTAGCGTGAATGCTGAACAAGAACGGAATTTATTATATGGATGTGTCTGAATTGAATTTGATTGGCTGAAATCGATATTGACCGCGGTCTAGATTTTCCTATCTAGACCGGCATCTAGACCGGCATCTAGACCGGCATCTAGACCGGTTATATTTTGCGGTGAAAAAGTTGCAAACTAAAACACAAAAATATTGACTATTTTCGTCTATGGAAGTGCCAAAAAGCCTGATGAGGTAGAAAGAAAAAGTAAAGAGGACGGGCTCAGCAAACTTAAGATTTAAGCTCAGCTCATCGCCGTTCGCAAGCAAAATGTCAGTTAGTACAAACCAGTTACAGTAAACGAATTATTGTTTTTCTTGTTTGCCATACAATAAACATCTGTAACAGGGGTTAGTCGGTCTGTATGGGAGAATCTTGACCTCGGTCGTGTGTACAGACCTCGGTCAAGATTCTCCCATACAGACCGACTAACCCCGGATAATAAGGGCTAAAGAATGTTCCGTGAAGCTAGTCGTTAACCAGTCCATAACACTGCTCTGTGACTTTGTGATTTCAGGTTCAACATGTGGTGGAGTGCGAGAGAATCTTGTCCAACTTGCTGGAAAAGACACCCGAAACTCATCGAGATTACACAGAATTAGGAAAAGTAGTCTCAAAATTTAAGCAGGTTTGCGCTCATGTTCCAGTAGTTAGGAATAGGCCATTTTACAGTTGTGTGCTTAGTTACCTGGCCTATGAATACAAGCGAGGCTGAAGGTGACCTTGTTTTGATACAAACCCGGCTCTGCTTTTCTCATTTAAATGGCAACTAGAAAGCATAAGAACAATTTGATGTACACAACAAAAGTAGTGAGGGCTGTTTCAAATCAAGGTCACCTCCAGCCTCGCTGCTATTCAAAGGCCAGCTTACTGAAAAGACAACTGTGAAATGGTCGAATGACGGATTTCTTGTGAGTAGGGGGGAGGGGGTTGGAGGAAAGCTCTCTTTTTCCTTCACCCCGTATTCTAAGAAAACTTGCTCGCAGGCTAGCTGACGTCACTATTTTCCGAAGTGCTTGCTAGCGGGTGCTGTTTGTTGATTGGATAGTACGAATTGGAATCTCTTCGATTTTTTTTTTCTGCGAAGACGTACGACAAAAGATACTTTTTTTCCACAACTGACTTTGCTTAATGGCGAGTCAGTGTGGGTAGGTCGAGCGACGTGGGTAACAGTAGCCTGTAAATAGGATCTCTAGTCGAGGATGGGGGGAAGAGAAAGCGGGAAGAAAGAAGCCCTCGGCCACTTCACTCTCAGCCAGGTCCATCTCAGCCCTTCTAGCCTCAGTCAGACCCTTCCAGCCGGCGCCTGTTCACAGGCAAGGGTAACAGCGTTGGCTAGGGTCACTGATTGTGTTGTTCTCGGACCCGACGCTTTACTCTCACAATGGTCCACTCCACCCGGCCCACTCCACCCAGGAAAACACTTCGGTAACCAGTGAATTGTTGTAGGGAATCTGTCAGACATAACTGTCGGCAAAGGACTGGCATCTCATCCAGGGAAAATGTATTTCTTTTCGGTGGTTGCTTTGTATTAGTTCCCATTGGGTTAATTAGACCTTTATATACCACTCCTTGAGAATATCACACCACTAGACGCCGACCAGTTTACTCGAGGCTGTTTTTTCCTTAGTGTTAATATCGTTATTTAAAATAGCATGTGACATATTCTTATATTTTCTGGCTTGTAACCTGTATTCAGCGTGTCTCAGGTTCTTGTAAATAAACTCGATTATTGCTGGCGGCTCCCTCCACTATTTGTTGTGTTATTTGTCTCCTCTACTTATAATAGAAATGTTTTCTATTCGGCCGAGCGAAGCGAAATATGATAGAATTAACATCATGTTAGTTGCTTCATACCATGTAACCGAGATGGATCATGGCTCCGCTGATCTGAAGGGTTGGAGCAGACCTTATCTTCTGCTAGCCTGCGTTGGAGTTGGAGTTGTAGGAAGTGTACACTGAATATCCTAAGGAACGTGATACGCACAATATACCTTGTGTGTAGAAGCCGAAGTGGTAAGAAGCTTATAAAGTTAGCGGAAGTAATTATAGGAGACAAGTAAACGTTTTGTTCTTTCAGATGGTGAAGGACAGAGAAGAAGAGGTGGTGGAAGCAGAAAATGAGGTATGAACTCAAATTAAACAAATTTTTATAAAGCCCCAGTGAGGGACGCAAATTTGGGCGACCTGCACCTTTTACAAGGCTCGTTATAATTGGCCAAACGAAGCGATAAATAATGAAAACAAACAGGGCCCCTCGGCCTAAGAACAAAAGAGGCGCAGATTAACAAGAAATAATTAAAATAGAGGTTTTTAAAGAGGTGGAGATCAACCGTACAATTCTGTCGTTCATACGTTTGTTCATGTTGTTCGTGTTACCTTGGTTGGGCCGCGGAGGAATTTCAAGTTCGTTGATTCCAAAGGATGAAGCAATCGTTGCTGACGTCACTGTTTACATTTTCCTCATTGACATACGACTTTGTGCAGAGAAGGCATCACTCTAGACACGAATTGACTACAAACAATTAAAGAGCTTGTGAAACTTAGTATTGGGTAAAATGTTTGGCCCTTTGGGTGTAATATTCAAGGGGAAATTGGCTTTCAGAAACTGAGAAATTTCTGGATGGCAAAAATGCTATCCGTGTAGAATTTTGAGTTTTTAAACCCGCGTCGCACGAACAGTATTCAATACATTGGGCTCAAATTCCTTGGGATTCTTAATTGAACTGTGCCCTTTCAATATTCCGAGCTAAATGTTTTTGTGGCTAAATGTTTTGGAGACTCTCCTTTGAGAAAAAGAAGCCGGCTGTCCAGGTAGATTGCATTATGGGCGATTTTAATAATTTCTTAGTATTTTATCCTTAATTAATCTTCCGGTATTAACTTGAATTGAATAGGTGGTAAACAACATATACATTATCAGTTTGATTTATTTTAAGCAATTTTGTTCTATATTTATATCGCTAGACCCAAATCCCGTCAAAATGCGCCTGATTTATTACAATTTTTCAAGCTTATTATTGAATTGTCCAAATTAATCCTGCACTGGGATTCGTGTCCAAACAGGTGAAAGAGTAAGCACTTTAATTGAAGAAAAAAAAATGCTTAAAATTGGAATTGCAATCCTTGGAATTTCTTATTTGGGCAGCAGGTTATACCATCACGTGTATTTACAAAAGTAAAGGCGGGAGATGAAAAGTTCATTTTAAGTCGAATTTCTAACCTTATTATTAGTAAAGAGGATTTCCAAGCACTGTAAATAACGCGCTCTCTGTAAACTGAGTCAGTTAAGATGAAGCTACAGACATCTGAGCAAGTTTCGGACGGAGTGGTGACCATGTCCGATCTCTTATGGCCCCTGGGCACATGTCTATATGTCGCTTCTTCAGTTGCTTTAAACCATTTAGAATTTTTGTATTTCACAGCCGGATCACTTATCTTTTAGCTAAGTTCGTTAAATTCAGTCGAACTTAAGGAGCTTGTTGAAGTTCTGAATATTTTCATCAGTGTTTTCATAGAGAAACAACTCCAATGTTACGTTCTTCCAACACTGTAATCGCGCCAAGTTATGAGCGCTTTTTCTTGTCCTCATTTTGTTATCAACGTGAAGTAGATAGCAGTTAACTGGTCGCTATAAAGCGCCTTGGGAAATCTGTCGTTTCGAGCTTGAGCTTGTAAAGGTTTACTCAGAGGAAGAAAGATTTACTCCGAGAAAAACAGTTTTTTTGTATCGAAAATTTTCCTGCCAACAAGCAGTACGTTGGAAGGCCTTGAAACTATGCGTAACATGTTTTAGGTGTTAATCTAAAACCTGGTGAATGTGATGCAAATACAATGGCACGCGAACGCCCCCAGTCGACACGAAATTCGTGTGGAGAGTATTTATAGTTAGTTAAAGTGATGATGGCGCATTTTTTCGTCGCTCGACCATTGTTCGTTCATTTGTCCACGTTTTTGTGTTTTTGTATTTTGTTGTTGTTTTTTTAAATTTATCGTTGTTTATCTACGTGCTTGTCGTGATGTTAATCTCATTTTCGGATGCAGTTGACCCACTAAAATGAAATCCCATTTAAAAGCTTTGCCGACTTACATATTTAAGCTGGCATTCCTTGCCGCCTTTTTCTGGTAGTTTGACATTTTTATTGTTTGTTTCCTTTAATTTTCCTATATCTTTGCGAGACATGTAGGCTCCGTTGGTATGTATGAGAGACAAGAAAACATGAGGAAGAAGTATCAGAGAGTTGAGGGGAGGGTATAGATGTGGCTGTCAGGGCCGCAGCCAGTATGAGGCAAACAGAGGCACTTGCCGGAGTCATTTGTTTTTTTTTCGTTTCTGTTGTTTCTCTTTTGAAGAGAAAAGTAAAACACTGCAAAATTTCTAGGAAGACAATTTAACCGTGGACATTGCCTCAGTCGTAATTTTTTTTTTGTTTACGTCTGACAGTATTTTGCGCGTTGTTTAGAAACGCTTTTGTTTTTGTTATTAAAAGCTTTGTTTTAGCACTTATTCCTTCCGTGAGATATGATCCAAATCTTGTGCTTAATCCAATTATAGTCTTTACCGCACCAGATTTAGAAATGATTTTGGAAAACAAAACTTCAGCCAGACCAAGGTCACGTCGAACCTGCCCCTCCAGTGGTAAATTCGTGGTATGAATTTTTCTTCAAGTTCTTGGCTGATTGCTCTTGATTCAGTGGATTTTCCGTCGGAGTTTAAGTAGGAAAAAAGACTCTATTTACCGTGGGATAAGAATTTGCGAGCTTTCACTGACAGCGAACGCACTCATTTGCCCAATCTATGACAGTTACGGTTCTTACTTAAGAGAGCTGAAGTTCTTTCATAAAAAGAACGAAAAGTTCTTTATTCCAGGGATCTAAAAATTTTAACTTACTTTACTTATGGGAACAATCTCGATACTCTTTATGAGTAGTCTAATCATAGAAGCTGTGCTAGCTGAAATTTTGTATAAAGGAAAAAAGAAACCTGGCATTTGACGAACGTTCAAGAAAGTATCACAGTCGGCATCTTGAAAATTACTGACAACTTGACAGTAATTTTCGAAATTCAAGTGTATTTCATGTAACTGAACACGGCGTTGATTGGTGGATCGGAAATAGCCAAAAGTGCATTCGCGAGAAAGTGTTTAATTAGATTGCTTTCAGAACCGTAATGGCGACGAAAGAGCGATCGGTTGCGCATGCGTATGACACGACGTGTTACGTTCATGCATGCGAGTAGTGTTTACAATCCACGAACACAACTTTAGACAGTGTCTGCAAACGTTGCAGTGTCGGGTTTGCTTTTTGTGAGAGAAAATGTGATTTGGACAGTCAATGAGAGTGTTCCGGAACTTTGTGCGAAGACAACAACACGTTTTTCGAGCAGTGAGAATTTTACAAAGAGGAATGTGGGATATTTTAAATCCGGAAAAATGCGACATCCTTTCGTCACCAAATTGAACACGTTCACGCCCGAGATGTCGACCTCGTCCCTCGTGGAAAACTTGTCTGCAAATTAAATACTTTTTAAAAGGTCTCGTCATCGCTAACGATGATTGAAATTGCCCACAACTGTTCATGTAATTTTTCTGGCTTCGAATTTAGGGAGTTCTTAACAACGACCACTGTGATGTTTTAAATTAACGCACGAGATTAAGGCACTCGGATTTTGTGTGTTCTTTAGAATCAGTAGTTTGAAGTCAATACACGGACTTCGTTAATTAGCTAGTGACGAAGAACGATGATGGGTTTATTGAAGTCTTGTTGAAGAGAGTCTTCATCCTATTGAACTGGAATTGTTTTTGCACGTTTTATGTTTCATGGATTCAAATCCGAAGACTTTTTGTGGCAAATTCCCAGGGGCGGGTTGGGAGAGGGGGGGGNGGAGGGGAAAATCCAGAGGTGCTTGACAGAAATCTACTGCAATTCAGACCAGAGCAATGATGCCGATTAAGCAGTGAAGAGTTCACGCAAAAAAAAAAAACACAATTTCCTAGTCAATCATCCTTTAGATTTTTTGTTTCAGAAAAAAGAAAAGGGAAATAAAAGTGAACAGTAACGAGAAAATTCGGCTCTGTTCTAGACTTTATAGAAGGACTTTACGCCCTCGGGAGACTGCACCGGGAGGGGGTGGGGAGGGCGGATATCCACGGCTAGACTTAAATGCTAGAAAACCATATCTTCGGGAGAGTCACGTACGTATTAAGCCAATATATTGAAGGATGTCTCTGGCTCCAGGGGGTAGAAAACTGTTGTAGAACCCATTAAACGTCGATTAAGTTGAGAGTTGTCGAGCACTATTATTGATCGACGATTGAGAAAGCCAGTCTGGAAATACCAAGACGGTAACGATTTTGTTCGAGAAAGAAATCGCTCTGAATGTCACTTGACGTTTGATGGGTTTAGATGGAGTTCATTCTGAAGTTTAGTTGTTCTGTTATCGGCTGTTTGGATGGATTGCTTATGCCTCGAACGAAAGTAAGTGACGGCTAAAGTAAGTTGAGTTTTCGCACTTAAATTTCGCGTTGACGTGGAACTCCAGTGATGGGTAGACAATCTTATAACTGGCACGGTTGTTAAAATTACAGCGGCGCACTTGTTGCTCATAAATTGTTGTGCTATAAGTATTTTAAATGCTTGGTAAGCTTTGGTTTTTTGTTTGAAAGGTGACATCTCGTATATATGAAGGTTGCGTCGCTGTGTTTCACTGACATGTTTTGTAAATCAAAATGTTGTAATGGTAGCGGTATTTTGTCGCGAGGCACGGATTCTTACAGCTCAAGCAATGCTGTTTTTGATAATGGCTCCTGACACGCTCATTAGTTTCTAGAATTACAAACTTCAATCGCAAAGAATGAAGAAACTGAACTATGCGTGGGTTTGATAACGAAATGAAGCTACTTTAAAAGGTGTTTCGAAGTCAATACAATACATCTATATCTACCATATTATCATCTTGTATTGGCCTAAACTAGGGTTTTCTTGGCCTAGCAAAATTGCAGGGCTTTTTTTTTTTGTAATCCGTCAGTCTTTTCCAGTTTTCATAATTTATACAGCTGGTGTTTTTTCGATTATTTCAAACCGTTAATTCGATGATGTGGTATTACCAACTCGTCTTTGGTTTAT